CACGTCGAGAGGAGTCAGTTGAGGTGGTTCATCTGGTTAGGATGCCTCCTGGATGCCTCCCTGGTGAGGTGGTCTGGGTACGTCCCACTGGGAGGAGGCCCAGAGGAAGACCCAGGACACGCTGGAGGGACTATGTTTCTCGGCTGGCCTGGGAACACCTTGGGATTCCCTTGGATGAGCTGAGCTGGCCCAAGTGGCTGGGGAGAGGGAAGTCTGTGTCTCTCTGCTTAGGCTGCTGCCCCCGAGACCTGATCCCAGATAAGTGGAAGAAAACGGATGGACAGACTTTTACTTTTAATACATAAGTACAAAAATATCAGATACTTTAAGACTTTTACTCAAGTAATATTCCTAAAGGAGACTTTAATGTTTACCAAAGTATTTTTTGGTAAAATACTTGTACTTTTACTCAAGTATCACTTTGTGGTACGTCATACAACACTGCCATAAATGTCTAAACTGCTGGCAACAAAAGTAAGAACACATCTAAGTGAAAATGGCTAAATTGTGCTTAAAGTGCTGAAATATTTTGTGTGGCCACCATTATTTTCYAGCACTGCATTAACTGTCTTGGGCATGGAGTTCATTGGAGCTTCTCAGGCTGCTACTGAAATCCTCTTCCCCTTGTCCATGATGACATCACACAGCTGGTGGATGTTAGAGMTCTTGTGCTCCTCCACCTTCTGGTTGAGGATGCCCCACAGATGCTAAGTAACATTAAAGGTTTGGAGACAAGCTTGGCAGGTCCAGCACATTTACCCTCAGTGTTTTAGCAAGGCAGTGGTGGTCTTGTAGATGTGTTTGGTGTTGTTATTATGCTGGAATTCTACCCTGTGTTTCTAAAGGGAGGGGATCATGCTCTGCTTCAGTATGTCCCAGTACATGTTGACATTCATGGTTCCCTCAATGAACACTCACCACCATGCTTGAATGTAGGCAGGACAAACTTGTCTTTGTACTCCTCACCTGGCTGCTGCCACACAATCTGAACCAAATAAGAGCAAATGTACACTGATACAGTATATACAAGCTGATTACTTTAGTGTCTAATGTAGTGGTCACCCTGGGTGGAATAAACGTTCCACCTGCCTTTGAACTTGACCACGGAAGGCCTCCTTTAAAGAACAGAACTCTATTCATTTTTATGGTCATAAC